GGGGGGCGTAAAGGTTTTGCACCACCCTGTAGAATACATTTGACTAAGTCTCCGCATATTTTCTCTCGTTTGGTAATCATCAAATAATCTCCTCTTGTGCAAAAACTAGAAAATTTCACGTTCTACAAAATGGTGTACTTTTTAGATTCACATGTGTTTCCTTGAAAAAGTTTTTGAATGAAAAGCAAAAATATTGAAGGACTATGATTTGAATAGTGTAGACTAAAAACAAAAATATTATAGCGGTATTTACTGTTAAATAATATTCAACGACGATCGGATTTGAAGAAGAATGTATGAATGCACTGACTATGAATATAAACGAAGGCAAAAAGCTGAGTAAAATGCGACGAACGCACGTTTTTATTTCTCATTTATTTCAATAATTACTGATGCATATGAGTGAATTGCGCTTGTATTGTACGGTTGTGTTTCCAACACGACAGCGCTTATATCTCAACTTCTACTCAACTAATTTTAATAATTTTTTTTTGAAATACTCCTTAGGCTCTATCCTACTTACTGTAAAACTATCGAGGCTTTTGGGCATGGTAGCGATGGAATTTTCAAGCAAGAAAGGTTAAAATGAGTGCCTTTTTGGTCCACCCATCGGCGAAAATCACTCTTACCGTCCTACAATTTTGAATAGATAAAAATAATTTATTATAACCATTTTGTAGCTAAGACTTTCCTCTCTCTCATCATATAAATTGATCACAGCTTTGATTTTGATTTTCTGATCAAATCTTGCATAGACTAGCTAAACATACACTTTAATCAGTTTATGTCCCGTCAGATTAAATTCAGTCTACTAAAGCCAATGCAAAAGCAAACGCCAATTCTTTTTTACTATTCAATAGAGTAAAGGGCGAGAAATCTTTTGATAAAAAAATTTTTTTCGAACGACCTTATGGATCAAATAAAAAACTAAAAATAAGACGGTAGGGGTATTGTTTTTTTGCTAAATGTCCCGTCAGATTTTGAATTTTATTTGTTTGATTTCTCGGTAATTGTATGAGCTAAGGCCATGATCTTTTTATCCTTTTTAGCTGACTATATGGTAAATATGTGGTAAAAATTTCAGCTCTTAAGCACATACTGTTCGTGAGAAAATAGTATTTTACTCGAAAAATGTCCCGACAGATTTTTTTGTATCCAAGTGTCCCGACAAATTAAATTCAATCTACTAAAGCCGATTTAAAAGCAAATTCAAATTCTCTTTTTTCTGTTCGATAGACTAAAGGGTGAAAAATCTTTCAATAAAAAAATTTTTTTCTAAGGACCTTCTAAATCAAATAAAAAAATTAGAATAAGAGGGTGAGGGTGATGCTGAGGGCGTCATCCGCACCTTTTCGCCCTTAAGATACGCATGTATATGTGCCGATAAAGTTCTGCATATGCTCATTAGATTCTCCTTTTCAAAAGCTTTCGATTGATATATAATAACAATATATAAATTGTCATTTCATGATTTTATTTTGTCAAAATATTTCTAAAATTATGTGTTTTATTATGTCAAGAAAACTTGGAAACTATGCATTTTTTTGATAAAACTCGTTTTTTTTTTTGAAATGAAAAAACTGACAATTGGGAAAATATTTGATTTATACACAACTGATAGTGCTCTATCGAATGGACAATTCAAAATTGCTTTATATTCACTTTTATTTTTTTCGATTTTTTACGTCAAACCGTACAATACGAGCGCAATTCACTCATATATGTCTTACATATATAAGAGACGATTAAGAAAAAAAAAGATATACATTTATAACTTCGCATATTTTTCGATTGTGTCAGATACATTTTTCTCGTCCCTATTAACATTAAATTATATTAAAGCAAGATGGTTGATGTTGCAAAATTATTTCTCTTGTACGTCATAATTAACTCGATTAGAACGGTATCACTGGTCTCAATGCGAGATTGGCCGAAAAATGATGTCATTATTGATACTAATAAAGGCTATGCTCTTCGACGTTTGGGCGCATATTCACCAAACGTTATAGAAGAAATCGTGCACACATTCGTACCTCTTTCTAATTTTTGTGTCGCATCACCACAAACAGATATTTGTGTGTATGCTTCGGTACCAGTACGTACGGACATAGCACAACTCGCCATTATGATGACACCTCGTCATACCGTTCGCACACCATCATCATACGATCGTGATAGTGTATCGAGATTGATTATGAAAGATATAAGTCGAGTTCTCGCACAGCATCACCCAGATGAAGTTATTAAAAACGCTAAATCAATCGTTCATTTCGTTGGCAATCAATTTTATCATCAAAAGAGTGACGCAAGTGCATTGATGACAACATCTCCTACGAATACAATTGATGATTACTCTGGTATTTCCCGTATTCGTTCAACTTCAATGGAAATGATTCTTAAACAGATAAGTAGCAATAGAATAGGTTTTGAATTTTTATCTTACACTGATTTAAAATTGCTTTTAGCGGCAATATTTTCTACTATCGATGCTTCGTATACTATTTTTAATGTTCAAGAATCGCTTGATACTTTCTCTCAGTTTATTTTAGGACAATCTGTGTTTGCTTTGCGTTATTGTTCATTAGGTCAAAGAAATTCATTACCTGCTCAACCTTGTTTGGCCATCTCGACATTATTCTTACGAATTCCACCCGACACTACATCAGCATTCTCAATCTATCGTCTGATGCCTTTACCAATTATACACAATGGTGATATGTACATCTACTCAAACCTTCCAAAAATAATTGGAATAAATTCCATCGATCAAACATTTCTTAGTTGGAAGGAAGAAATTGATATTAAAGAATGCACATTCTCACCTCTTGTTCAATGCCGAAAAATACCTGTCACTACTTCATTATCAAAATCATCTTGTTTAACTCAACTACTCAATGAAGATCAATCAGCTACAAATATGTGTCAAGTTACACGTTCAACAAATATAGAACAAGATATAATGCAAATTGATGATGGCATTTGGTTCTTCTACAATATTCGTCAGGCACACCACTGTCAAGTTTATTCAACTTCAAACGATCTTATAGAATCAATATCAATCACTGAACCGACCATTGTAAGTATACCATGTAACAAGACAGTTACATGCATGGATTCCCAATTACCTATTTCACCATGTACACAACGTCGAGTAATCGTAACACCTCGTTTTCAATTCCATGTACCACCTCAAGCTCGTTTTCTTCTACCGATAAAAAAATTATCACAAACGATTGTCTCCTCTTATGAATCACAATACAAAAAAACAATGAACGATTTAATAACAACTTTGACATCAAAAAAGCCCAGATTCAAGCGATTTTTTGAAGATGTTTTAATCTACGTTCTATCTATCGTTTTCTCCATTCTATTCATTATCTTTCTTTTGCTCTTAAAATTGATCAAACACAAACTAAAGAAAGAAATCGACAGCATTGCATCTATTGTACATGACATTTTTGATGTATAAATTTTTTTCTCTCTTCTGACTGACTCTAAATAAGCATTTAATCAATGTAATAAATATTCAATATATTCAGTAATCAAATATATGAAATAAAATTAGAAAAAAAGAGAGCTAAAATTTCACCAAACTTCTCATAGGTGCCCACAAGGAATATATTCTCACATACATATGCTCCTACTAACGTATCTCCATAAGGAACACTGACATTAAAACATTAAATCTGATAAAAAATCTCAATAATGATAGACATTGTTTTCTTTAAACCGATACAACGACATTTCTTTTTGTCTTCCTTTTATTATGCATTGAAACAATGTTATATTAAACATATTGTATTCAGTACAAAAAAAAATAAAACAAACAAACGCTGGAAAAAAAAATACCCTCACTGTGAGCAAAGATATGCAAACACTTTTTAAAATCTTCTTCATCAAATCTTTGACCTTCATTGGACTCTCGGCTTCAATGAGACATTGATCGTTACCAAAAGTATCATTCGCAATCATAAGTGTTAATAAAATGAAGTAAAATACAAAACAAGCAAAAAAAGTCTAGAAAAGGTATACATAGAAAGCATATACTTAATAAACTTTAATAAGATGAATAGGCTTGACCATAAAAAAAATAAATGAAGAAAAAACACTTCAATTGAAATGAAATACTTATAAAAAGATTCTTATATAAGTACATGTGCTTCATCAATGCGACCGACAACAATACAGAATATCTAAAAATTTAAAAGAAAACGACTATAATATATTCAATAATATAAACCATTTACTTATCACAAGTAAACAATTGTTTTCAACAGAAGAAAAGTATTCAATAAGAAGTAACAACCCATGTCACCACTTTTTTAACAACTGCGTCGCAGTTGCGCGTAACTACGAAATTTTGATCGTAACTGCGCGTAACTGCGGCGCACTGATCGCAGCAAAAAAATCATATGTTCGACTACGATTGACTGCGACGCAGTTACGCGTAACTGAGAATAAAATATCGCAGCTGCGCGCAACTACGGTAAAAAATTCGCAGTTACGCGTAGCTGCGCCGCAATTTTCCGCAATTACGGGTCACAGTGCGATCGCAGTTGCGCATAACTGCGTCGCAATTCGATCGCATTCGAACACATGGGAACCATTTCCATATATATTTATAAATATTTACCAAGATAATAGAACTTTCGATGATAAACATGTTCCATCACAAAAATCAATTCAAAATAACTAAAAAGATACTAAAATTTATTGCTTCATAATTATTAACTCGTTGATAATGATTCAAAACCATCCATGTGTGTCACCATGGAAAAAAAACATCTAGAACTTGTAAAAACAGAATCAAATCAAGATATTCATTAATAAAGCTTACCTATTGAATCTTCATGTAATAAATTTTCACCAAATAATAAAATCTGAACTAAGCAAAAAAACCTAGAGTTAAATATATATGAAAATTCTTTTATATAAAAGCAACGCGTTCATCAATGTGGTTCACGAGAAAAGTGAATAAATAATTCATTTTAAAAATATTATATTTAATCATTGACACTACTCACTCACTCATCATTCAAATAATAAATTATTTTCATCAAAGAGAAAAACATTTAAAACGTGCCAAAAATTTTAAAAGTACTTATTCCTCAATTAACGCTACTTATTGAGCCTCAATATGATAACAATCAAAACGAAGAAAACCATCTGAAATACGGATAAATGAAAACTTCAATAAAATATTTATGGAAAGAAATTTTCATAAAAAAACCGTCTTGGTCGATGTATTTTAGCAGAATATAAAAAATCTGACCCATGTAAAAAAAAATATAAACTTATTCATTTATAATTCTCACGTCAAAATAATCAGCTGTTAATTGTCATTCTCTTATTCGTCATATGCAGAAAGCCAATAGAATTTCATTCTTTTCTTCCCATGTCGATAGGACACGCTGGCGACACATGTGTCGACACAATTTGTGTGACACATGAAGTATCGTCACGTTTTGCAACAGTGTCATAGTGTGTCGACACATGTGCGTAATGTGTGTCATGCAGTGTCGACACATGCACTCCATCCGTGTCATCACGTGTCAAAAAGGCTTTTTCAAGCAATATCATTGGTTCGTTTTAACTCCAACCGTATATGATATATACATATATATATAATGATTCACTTGTGGTGACTTAGACCGTCACCTATTGCCTTGTTTATTATTGTATAGAGCGTTCAAATCAATAAGTACATTAGAGTTTTGACAAACAACATACACATAAAAAGTAAAACAGTAAAACAACTGTACGACAAAAAAACAGGATAAAAAACACTGCATAACAAAAAAAAACACTTTTCATCTGTTTTAGCTTACACGTATTACATAAGAAAAAAAAAATTTTCATAAATAGAAAAATAAACGAAAGTTCACAAGAAAAATCATTTCAGAGAAGTTAATTTTATAAAAAAAAAACGAACACCATAAAGATAAAAATCGAATATTATCTTATCATAGTTTCTAAATGAGCGAACCATATAGTAGGGATGAGAAATTTATTGTTATTAATAACAATAACACTAACTTTTTGTTTAAAAAAAAAATGAAAAAAATAGTTTGTACAAACGTCAAACGATCACTTTATTCATACAGTATCTTTTCCTACTATTTGATAAAAGAACTTATCGTAAAGATTTTGAGAAATGATAACATAACATATTTTGTTACATTGACGTTTGTACAAACTATTTTTTTCATTTTTTTTTAAAACAAAAAGTTAATGTTATTGTTATTAATAACAATAAAATTCTCACCACTACCATATAGATCAAAAGTATCAGTTATATCTGAAAATTTTTTACCTTCTTAATCATCAAATGTTTCTTCATCAGAACGAAGATCGACATTGTCAAAATCGTCAATGATGTTGTTTGATGTATTGTTATTATTTGATGCATTGTTGTTTGATACATTGTTGTTGTTTGATGCATTGTTATTGTTTGATTAATTGTTGTTGTTTGATGCATTGGTGTTGTTTGACGTATTGCTATTGTTGGATGCTGCTTCTTTCAATTTCTTACTGAAACACAAATGAAATTTTATGCAAGAAAATTTTGTTAAAATGATTGATTATTTTTAACTTACTTATCTCGACTTTTTTTTGTACGTTCCTGACCATAGAGACTGTCGTGTCCTCTGCCGCCGATGAAATCATCATATATTGATGGATTATGTGAGAAACAGAGTGCAACAAGACATTCTTTAATAAATGAACATTTGATGGGTGTGGGTGTGGGTGTGGGTGTGGGTGTGGGTGTGGGTGTGGGT